ATGCCATAAAATGTGAAATTATCTTGAAATGCTCTCAGACTGTGCATGAGCATAATAAACGAGCGACACTTTAATAAATAATCAAAATGCTCAATGTGCCGAGTGCCGAGTGTCGGGGCATGGCAAGACACAATGAATTAGACTATTAAAAACATTGAGAATGTCATTTCAGACACAGACTGAGTCATAATCTACCGAGTGCAGACAGAAAAGTTGCTCCAAATGAAATGCAAAATAAAATTTAATATTACCAAGTTTATGTTACATACATATATATGTATACATATTTTATTTGTTAAACTGTTATCTTTATTCATCTATTCTGCTTCTACTCTTGCAGGCGTGCAAATTGCATATTTTGCCATAATTGGAACGCAAATGTCAATGATATTGTTAAGCATTGTGCTGATATTTGGCATCTGTCGGGTAAGTTTTGCTACAGCTCGTTTGCCCAAAAATGACACACACAAAAAAATTAGTTTGTCAGACGCATACAAATATACTATACAATACACCAACAATCACACATACACACACACACACACACATACATGGTAAATCAAATAACTTGAAGCCGCATATTTGCAAATTATGCACATTTGTGCCTGGGCTTAAACTGTTTGCTGGCCATAAACAAATAAAGCGCTTGCAAATGCAAATTTTGCCAGCCGTTCCACACATATGCCACGCCCTGTCAGGCCAATCAAACTGCCTACAAATGAATAAATAAAACAAATGCGCATTATGGAAATTATGGATAATTTAAATAAATATTTATTGACAATCAAAAAGTTGCATTCAACTAGAATTAAGAATAATTCGAATTTAATATTCGCATTGCTTCGATAATAATAATATTTCTGCCTCCTGAGGCATAGGCTGTCAATTCGCGTCCAAAATAACCTTTTAGATATAGATTTATGATGAAGTCATGTTTGGCAAAGAACAAAAAATGTAAATAAAGTCAAATGAACCACCCAGCATATTTGTGAAAGGGTTGCCAAAAAAATAAAGAGAGAGAGAGAGAGAGAAAAAGGAAAAGAGAAAAAGGGAATAAAAATAGAAGAAAAGTTGAATGCCACGCACAGTGGTTAGAAACGTAGACAATTTGTCACACAATTGGGTATACAAAACCATCTGTCGGTTGGCTGATGACGACGACAACGACAACGACGACGAGGAGGAGGAGGACCAGAAGGAGGACGAGATCGAGGACGACTGCCGGCGACACATGACAAAGATTATATACAGCTGGAGCGAGCATTGCGTGGCGTATTGTGTGGAATTTTTTAATTTCGACCTCACAGTAAAAACAAAAACAAAAACAGAAAAAATCAAACAAAACAAAAACACACACGCACACACACACACACACACACACAGCAAGCAAATACAGCGTGAACGCCAACGCATTTGCCCTCAGATGTATGCTACACTTATTTGTACAGCGCGCTGTGTATGTGTGAGCTTAGCATAGTGTATGTGTGTGTGTGTGTTTGTGTTTGTGGAAAAGCATTGTGCTGTTGGGCAAATTAATTGCAGTTCGCTCTTAGGCGCCAACAACCTGACGCTGCGCGATGCGCTAAATAATGCATAGACCATTGGCATTAATTAAAGCTGCCCGCCTATTTGCTCAACAATTTGTATGGAAAACAATTCAGCTAAAGTGCCGCTATATATGTGTATGTGTGCATGTTTGTGCATGTGAGCAGAATTTGCCACAAAAACTCCATTAAAGGAGGAATAATGTATGTCTGTGTATGAAGACCTCGAAATAGAGTGGAGTGGAATGGTTTCATTCAACTGTCTCTCAGCTCTTAACATTCAGCTTGTTGCTGTTAAAAATTTTAATGAAAAATTTATGGCTGGCGCTGTCAGCGACGGCACTGTAAAAACTTCATAAGTAAACCTCAAAATTCGACACGCGAAAGAGTGCGAAAAAGAAAATATAATCAAAGACTTTGCACTCTATTGAAATATATTACAAAAAACAAACAAAAGCAAATACACACACACACATGAAATACTCACACATTCACGTTCTCATAGGGCACATAAAATATTTGATGGAGTGAAAGCGTGCAGAAAACGAAAACCTTCAATTTGATGCCAGCTAAAGGTGTGCGAATTGCTTCTGCTGCTCCGCCTCCACTTCTACTCCACTCCACTTCCTCTCCACTCAACTCCAATATTTGTTGGCAGGCTATAATATTTGTGTACCTCTTCTTTATGCTCTGCTCTGCTCTGCTCTGCCCACAGGAAAACCCCGGCCTAATTGTACCCTGGATAATTGGCTACATTACGTTCATGGCCTTGGAAGCTGTCGCCATGGTTTATTCGAATGTGCTGCGTGATCATGTGAACAAGGTGAGTCGATTCCTCTGGGATAGTGCTAAGTGTGGTGGGTAGCCAAAACGCTTTTAATGCATATTTAAGATGCTTTCGTTGGCGGTCCATTTGTTTAATGAAAACCTCCAATCAACTGAATGCTCTAATCCCCCTCTGCCCTCCTCAACATTCGCACACTAGCCGAACAAAAGCCTTGGCGCAGCGGGAGCTCCTTCTCAATGATATCAATGAGAGCTCTCGAATGCGGTGTTGGCATAAATCAATTCGAGCCAAAGGCAAAGCCAAAGCTGAAGCCGACGCCGAAGCCAAAGTACAAAGATCTGGCAAAACAAACAAATAAATTGCACGTTCTCAATGCTAGAAAATAACAATAACGAGAACAACAACAACAACAACAACAACAGCAAGGACCAAAATCCGTTACATATGTAAAAGTTCCTTTTTTATGCTAAATTCAAACAATGGATTTGGGTTAGGGTCCGCTGCTAACGACAGCCAAATGCACTACAATCGACAAACAATAAAATTGATATGTAAACACAGAGCATATGCTTTGTTTGAATTTATTCGTGCTCTTCCATGGCTTATTGATCCGTTCCCAATTCCGTTTTCACACACTGGGAATTAGAAAGAGATTTGCGAGAGCTGAGCAAATGATGAATATATTTTTGGGAATATTTTAAATTTTACATTAGTCTGTTTAAAATTAGCAGAAAAATAAAAGAAGATAAGATGGATATAGGAAATGATAAATATGATAATTGAAGGCTATATGGATTTATGTATTATTTCTTTTTTATTTATTTAAATAAATCATTATATCCTTCAGTTATCATATATACATATAGAAAAAAAAAAAAACAGAAACATATGCATAAAATAAAACTTAAATAAATTTAAAAAAAAAATAAATAAATAAATATTAAACTCAATTTTGCATGATTGATTAAAAATAAAGTTTCTTATATAAATAAATAAAATAAATAAAATAAATATTAATTTTTAATATCACTATTGCAAATATATTTTTAATAATACTAATAATAAATATTAATGTTATCAATTTTATTATAATTAAAATTCATTCCTGATGAGCTTGACAATATAATTGTAAATCCATATTAATAATCTATTAAGCCACAGACTATTCATCACTAATATGCCTATCTAAACACCTAAAGCGCATAGCCGAGTGCAAAGTGAAATAAAAAGCTCAAGAGGTCGCACACACACTTAAAACTAGTGGCAAAGCGATGCCGCAAAGCTCACAGCTGACAACGGACAGGGTTCATTCACTTACTCTCAAACAGTTCTATCTCTCTTGCGCTTTGAGCTAACATAGGCTTATTACACACATGCACTTACACACACACACACACACATAGGCACTCGCCTCCTGTGACTTGGGCATTTTTCCATGCCATTGCTTTTGCGTTCCGCTTTGTCCCCAACGCCATTTTCATTTGCTTTTCTCCAATTTTTTTTTTTTTTTTTTTTTTTGCCACTTTTTGTATTATGTTCGCGTTTTCTGTTTTTGTTTTTGCTGTTGCATTTGTTGCTTGTTTTCCACCAAAAACGTTACAAAATTGCCGCCTCATGCATAATTTATTGCAATTGTTGAGGTAAAATTCATGTTTTCTGCACTCGCTGTGGCAGCTGAGCAAAAAGTTTGCCTCCTTTTCATTTATGCCCCGGCAGCCACAGTGAAAATAATGAAAATTGCGGAAATTTCAGCCACACTTAAAACACTTAAAAATGTATTAAATATAAATGAATAAATGGTTAAATGAAAGGGTAACTACAAGTCGTGCTAGTTGTGTTTAATGTGTAGCAGTTGTTGCAGTTTAGATATATATTTAAGCTTTTATTTAGAGCTGCAATTACTTTAATTAAATATGCTTGAGTTCTGATTAGTTTTAATTAATATAATTTAAAAATGCGATTTACTAAAAATATTTTGTTTTTTTTACAGCAATTCGATGCCATGTGCAAGGCGGAGGTGGCATTCTTCATAGCACGCGCATTTATCAATGTAAGTAAAGGAAATATTAAATATTAAATATATGTATGCATGTGTGTGAGTGTGTCCTTTCAAGAAATAATCATATAATTTCAATTAAATCTTATATAAATACTTAATATCCATTATTTAATTTCTATTTATTTCTATATTCTATCTCAAATCTATATCTAATCTTCTTCTTCTTTAGCTGAGATTAGAGTTCTTTCTCTCTTCAAGACCCTCCCAAAACTCAACTTGTTCGCTTGTTCTATTTATTATAAAAGAGCATTGGTATCAAAAAATAAATTATATGTATAAAATATTAAGTACTAATTGTATCAAGGACTGCCTGAAAGTCCTTTTTGCAAAATGTGACAAACGCGATCTTGAATATCAAATTCGACAGCACTACCGCTGCTTTCAGACGTTCACCCTTCAATTTGTTCTCTGCAGCTTTAAGTCCAAACTTCATCAAGCGAAGACTGAGTAGTGCGTAATAATAGATCAGCCAAGGCAGCATCAGTGAAGGTGTGAACTGCAAATACTTGAGCTATGAATATGTGTAAATGCATAGGGTCTTCCTAGTCTTACGGATACGGTAGCATAGGTCAAGACCAGCCAAAAATTCAGATGTATAAAACTAATGGCACAACGACATTTGCGCGTTGTAGCTGGCTGCAATACCAAAAACCTATCATTTTGCCATAGAGTGCTTAACTTTGTTCTGGGGCTGCAGTAATGCTTCACAAAGTCAACCACACCTTTAATCTAGCAGGAGTAGCGATGATTACAGACAAGTGCCTAGCTTAAGACAATTCACTATTATTATGCCCTCACCACAGCGATCAGACACGACAACAACAGAATCCGATGCATTATGAGAACCTTATCCATTGATAAATCCTTCTGTTCCACTGGCCGTCTACACGCGTTCAGGTCCAGCTTATAGCTGTAGGCCATTAGGCAGAGTTGATGATCGTAGGGCAGCATTTGAAACATCGTCGAGGCACAAACAGATTATAAAACTATTGCTGAACTAGCGAAAAAAAAAAAGTTGAGTTGACAAAATTTTACAGGTAATTTGGATGAATTGTTCAAAATTGATTAAAATATCCAGCACTAAAATTGTTGTTGTATGTACAAACTGTAGAGATAAACTACTGTGCTATGAATAATTTACCCGGTCGAGTGTGCAAGGCACAGCAAGCAGCACAGTTTGTTTTCGATTTTATTATTATCGGTTGGAATTTATTGATTTAAGCCTTCGTTCAGGCGAAATAAGCGACATATGCAATAAATAATTTGATTACAGGTGAAAATCCATTAGAACAATGAGAGGAAAGCGGGGCACACCGACTATGCAATGCTCTGCCATTACATGAGCTTACTTAGTTTAGCTGCTTTGACTGCTTTGGCTTCTTTGTTTCCTTTGGCTCCTTCAGCTTCTTCAGTTCCTTTGGCTCCTTTAGCTTCCTTGATTCCATTGGCTCCTTTAGCTCCTTTAGCTCCTTTGGCTCCTTTAGTTGAGGTCTTGAAAAATCTGGCCAAAATCGAATAACTTACATTCATGTCACTGAAAAGCCAATATACTCTGCTGACTCTGCCAGCAGCGTATGCTTTATGTATTTTGTGTGTACTTAACCTATGTGTGTGTGTGTGTGCGTGTGTGTGCTAAGTGAAATTTATGTGACTCAATTAAAGGTTGACTCCCTTCCATCTAATTCAAACAGGTGCTAGCCATGTGGGGCGTTTTGCGCTTCTATAATCTCGTGCGTTCGGGCATCACCTGGCGTGGACCGGAGGTATGTTTGCAGCTCCTGCAAGCTCTTTCATTGTTTTGCTCTTGCTCCAAATTGAAAATCACTTTCAATTTGATTTAAATGAAACGAATAGATTGTGTTTAACTCATTTTGTTCCTTATTGACAATTTCTGTGTGTTTACTCATCCAACTAGGCCAAGACTGCCATCTTTGCGCCCATGTACAAGAGCGTGAGCACGCACAGCAAATCCTCGATTGTCCATCTGGAGGGCAAGCGGGCCAAGCAGCGCCAGAGACGCTACAGCGTGGAGGCCGAGAGCGGCTGCTGTGCGATCTTTGACTTTGACTTTGACTACGATGACGAGGACGACGACGATGACGGGGCTGAGGATGATGTGGGCTATGACTACGATGACTACTACGACTACTATGAGGATGAGGATGAGCAGCAGCTGGAGCTGGGGCAGCAGGATGATGCCGATTGCAGCATGCTGGGCTCGGGTGGCAGCGGCGGCGGCGGTGGCAAGTCGCGTCCCCGCACCGCGGCGGTGCGTATCAAGAGTCAACGCCATCGACGCAACAACAACAACATACGCAGCGTGCTGATCAATAAGCGGCACAACAAGTACAAAATCAGTCGGCCCCAGACTCAGCTGGAGGTGATCAACGAGTCGGAGCGCAGCGCGGGCAGCGGCAGCGACGAGAACGACTCCCTGCTGGTGGCCTACGACAGCAGTTCGTCCTTGGCGTCGGTTTGACATTGGCCGCCATGTCACAATGGAGCTGCAGCAAATGGGAACGATCTCCAGCCAACGTCCAGCGGAAGCGATGCCAGCTGCAACGGCAGCAGCAGCGACGACGACGATGACGACGACGACGTCGACGGCAGTCGCCAGGATCTGCAGCCTGGAGCGCGGCTCGCTGCCAAATGTTATAGTCAGCGTCAGCGTAAGCGCCGACGTTCACTGCGACGCGTCTACTGCGCTGTAAACATCTCCATAATGGGTCTCCTGGTGGCCGTGGAGATATACGCACAGCTGGCCATATTCCTCTAGATAGATCCAGCTAGGGCCATTGACAAATAAGCTTCAATAAAAAATATTAAAATAAAAATAAATATATAAATAAATAAATCTACAAGATATCAGTTGTATATAAGAATTAAACTTTATCAAATAAAGAGCATAAGGTAAAAAAAAAAAATTGAAAAAAAAAATAATAATAGCATAATTGGTAATTCAATGCATAAATATTTATCTGCTAGCAGTCTAGGCAACTAGGCGGCTAAAAGTTATGTGAATAACAGGAAGTAGACAGGGAACTCAAGTATTAAAAGAAAAAGAAAAACACATTTAATAATTTAAGCCTAAACAAGGCAAGTCTTCAAAATATATGAAAATGAGAATTGGGGCAAAGAACTTTAAGTAAATATGCATATATATTAAAGCAAATATCTAATAACAAAAATATAAATTAGTTGAACAGCATCAAGTCTTAGGCAGCATAAGCAATCTATTTCAAATCTTTGCTCTCAGCCAAAATTTTACTCTCAAGATTTTCTGCGCTGGCTAAAATTTTCTACTAGCACATGCAACATTTTTTTGTTGGGCCAAACAAAAGCTTTAAAATTTAAACTAAATATAAAAAAAAAACCAAAACTAAAACTATTGTATATAAAATAAAAATGTCTAAAAGCCAATCCAGCAGATTAACAATAAAAAAAAAAAATAATAAAAATAAGATTATCAATAAAGAAAAAATAATAATAATAAATACAACTACAAACAATAATCATATCGCTAATTGTATTATTGTAAATAAGTCTAACTATATGTATAAACATATACAATGCATATTTAAGTATATATACTAACTACAAAGTACAGTTGCGCCAAACTAAACAAAACACTTTGAAAGCTAATCAATAAATGTGAGTTAATGTACACCCAAAAAAAAAAAAAAAAAAAAAAAAAAAAAAAAAAAACAAATCAAAAACTGAATAAACACTTGACATTTGTGCAAAAAAAAATAGAATCAACTTTGGGCTGACAAAACGTGCGGAACACGTGAAGCTACTCTCCATATCAGCATACCCATTTCATGACAATCACTGAGTGCTGATATGGACATTCATTTTCTATCTCTCTTGCCGAGGTAATTTTTTTGCCCGGGGGCTTTTTGCTAGCTTCCCCAAAAACTGAACTGGAGTTGTGCGCGGGAAACTCTGGAAAACTCCAAGGGAAAAGTCCAGAGATCTGCCTAAGCTATGAAGACTAGCATATACCGCTTAATAAAACCAACAAGTGGAGCTCAGCAGAACTTTTGTTTCATCTAGGGTATCTAGTTGCCACCTGCAAATGGCAATTCATTTTATTCACAAAAATATTTAATCATTCACCAAAATATTGATCTGTTTAATCATTAGTTTCCGCCATCTATATATAATTATATTTTAATGGTAATACAGGGTGTCAGAGTTAGTGACGTCAGGGCGGCTAGCCGTAACTAATTAAATGATAAGGCTGAAAGCGGTAAACGCGTTCACACGACACGCGCAACACGTGATATAATCAACATACTCACACCCGACCGACCGATCGGCCCTCCACCATATGGACACACGATATGTGCAATCAGAGTGAGTTGAAGCACTCAGAGGTACTTCCACTGATATTGAAAATGGGGAAAAGGCAAACATAGTTGAAAATTGTGCGATCCAATCAGCGTGAAGCATTAGATTTAAAAGCGCTCGGGCTACTCAGTGAGTCAAGCAGTTGTGAAACATGTGGAGTCCAGCATTGATTGCTCTCAGCGGCCTGTCGCTGCTGCAGCTGTTCACCGGCAGCCAGGCACGCCTCCTGCCCGTTGACAATGAGGAGCTCTGGGCGGCGGATATGATTGAGGTGCCAATGGAGGTGCCAATGGAGGTGACCAACAGAGCAGGTAAGCTGAGATGCCGAGCCTCAATTCCATACAGTCTGAATGCAATGGGAGTTATCTATTCGACATAGCTGGCTGCTCTATCAAGATCCGTAGCACTGAGATGAAGAACCCACAGCCGTTGCTCATTAAGCCCGGCACCTCCGAATTCTATCCCTTCTCGGCATCTGGCGATGTTGATGTGGAGCATGACAAGACCATCGAGTTCCACTGCACCAGCAGCCTGGACTCTCCCCTCTCGGGCAAGTCTGTGACGGCCAGGTGCGTGGGCGGCACAACCTTCCGGGTGGGCGATAGAGATCACGATATATCGGCCATTAAGTGCACGTCCTGGCCCGCCTTTGTGGGCAAGAAGTCCGGCTCCAGCTGCAACGGCGGCACCACCCTCATCCACGTGGGCTTCGAGCTGAGCGGCTCGCGCTTTGCCAAGCAGTACGAGGTGTGCTTCAATGAGAACGAGGAGGTCACTCGCTACGTCTACCACACCCTGGACGCGGGCAGCAACTACTATGCCACCGGCGTGGATCGCATCAACTTTGCGCCCGGCGGCTTCTTCAATGGCAAGAATGTGGACAAGCTCTACACGCAGGCCGTGCAGAAGGAGACCATCGACAAGGCTCTGGACATGGACTCGGGCAAGTACTTTGACTCCCAGAAGAACGTATTCCTGGCACGCGGTCACATGGGCGCCAAGGCTGACTTTGTCTATGCACCCGAGCAGCGGGCCACCTTCCTCTTCATCAATGCGGCGCCCCAGTGGCAGACCTTCAATGCGGGCAACTGGGCCAGAGTTGAGGATGGCGTGCGGGCCTATGCATCCAAGTACAAGAAGCACTTGGAGTGCTGGACAGGTGTGTGGGGCGTCACCACGCTGCCCAACAGGGACGGCAGACAGACCGGCCTGTACCTGGCCTACGATCACAATGGCAACGGCCTGATACCCGTACCCAAGATCTACTTCCGTGTGGTCATCGAGCCCAGCACCCGCAAAGGCATTGTCCTTGTGGGCGTCAACAATCCCCACTTGAGTCTGGACGAGATCAGACGGGACTACATTCTGTGCAACGATGTCAGCGACAGGATCAACTGGATCAGCTGGAAGCGCACCGACATTTCGGCCGGCTACTCCTACGCCTGCGAGGTGCCCGAGTTCCGCCAGAAGGTGACCCACTTGCCAGAGTTCTCTGTGAGCGGCCTGTTGGTGTAGAGATTAAAGAGATTCAATAAAAAAAGCATGCGAATAATAAAAAGTTCATTCAACTTTTATTTTTAAACACGAGTTTGCTGATTGATAAGCTAAAGTTGAGGCTAAAAATATAAAAAATAAAATGTATATATTTTTATATAATATGCTGGTATTTCCAGATTTTCAACTCACATATAGTTTTTTTTGTATACCCTGAACCCATTGAAAATGGGAAATCAGGGTATAATGGTTTTGTGAAAAGTATGTAACAGGCAGAAGGAATCATCGCAGACCCCATAAAGTATATATATTCTTGATCAGGACGACGAGCTGAGTCGATATAGCCCTGTCCGTCTGTCCGTCCGTCCGTCCGTCCGTCCGTCCGTCCGTCCGTCCGTATGAGCAAAAGGATCTCAGAAGATATAAGAGCTAGAGAGCTGAAATTTGGCATGCATACTCGTGTATACCATAGGCAGTACAAGTTTGCTTTATTTTTTCGATAACTCGTCCGATAACTCTTTTATCGAGAATAATCGAAAAATCGACATTGTTTTTTCTGCTTAATTTGAACACTTTTAGACCTGGAGACTTAAAATTTGCGTTGTATATAAAGTTAATAGATACAAAGATTTTGTAATTTACAGATTTTGGATACCACGCCCCCTTCGCCCCCAATTTGTAAAAAACGCATTTCAAGTACTAGAGACTTGTGCTTTGGAACGTACACACATTTTAGCCATATGATTACGCTCTAAAAGTTTCATTAGGATCGTATGCCTACAAAAGAAATTATTCAACAAATAAATTCTCATAATATTGCCCACACTGCAGTGCAGCCCAAGCGCAGCCGCTGCTAGCTGCGCAGTTTGCAGAGCGCGTGCTTATAAGTGCATGTGTATGTATGTGTGCATAAAAGAAGTCCAGAATGATTAGAATATCAGTTTGGAGGGTTCAGGGTATCTCCTAGTCGAGCAGTCTCGACTGGAGCCTTCTTACTTGTTTTTTTTTTTTTTATTGAGTTGAATTTGTGATATTATAGATCATAGTGATATTATATATATTTACATATTTTGTGTATAGATATTATATATCTTTTCGTTTAATAAGCCTTAGACATATTGAATTTTTTTATATTTTTCGAATTTCTATATTAGAGATATTATTTTGCTTAGAAGTATATTATAATTCTTTACTTTTAGTAAACCTTATACAGATGCATATCTTCATTCCGAATCCTTCTATTTTTGTATATGTGTGGAGCGCATCGGTTTCATGATGAATACTTAGCGTTATTGACTTTCTATGAAGCTTCTCCTCGATCCTTACAATCCTGAATTTCTCTTGAAATTTTGTATCCCTATGAGGACTATAATCATAATTAAGTTTAATATTATCTATCCACAGTTATGCTCAGTTGAAACTTTAATCAACAAAATATTTTATTTTATCGTAAAATAAATCTTTTATTAAGATATATAGTTTTCCCCAAACGTTATAATTTTATATATTACTACTACTACTACAAAAATTTGTACAGTCTTTAACAAATTCTATCACTATAAATTTCAGTCTTCAATTTATGATATCATCCACCCACAGCCCAAGTCCTTAGGGCGATATCCTAGTTCAACAAAGTATTTAGGTATTTTTTCGAAATATTCGATTAAACAGGTTTTTTTATTGGCACAGCTTAGACGAGCAGACCATTCTTGGCGGTCAGAGCGGGCAGGTGCTTGACCGTCTTGAGGAAGTCGGCCACTTCGCAGGCATAGGACCAACCCGCCTTAATGTCCGTCTTCTTCCAGTTGATGTAGTTGACCCGATCGCTGACATCGTTGCAAATGATATAGTCCTTCCGGATCTGCGCCTCAGTCAAGTGGGGATTGTTGACGCCCACAAAGACGATGCCGCGATGTGTGGAGGGCTCGATGACCACACGGAAATAGAGCTTGGGCACCGGGATCAGGCCGTTGTTGTTGCCATCGCGTGCCAAGTAGAGCGGAATCTCCACGCCCTCCTTGTTGGGCAGCGTAGTGACGCCCCAGACACCCGTATAGCAGTTGACATTCATGCCGTTCTTGGAGACCCAGGCACGCACACCATCCTCCACTCTGGCCCAGTTGCCGGCATTGAAAGTCTGCCACTGGGGCGCCGCATTGATGAACAGGAAGGTGGCCCGCTGCTCGGGCGCATAGTCAAAGTCCGCCTTGGCGCCGAGATGGCCGCGAGCGAGGAAAACATTTTTATTCGTGTCGAAAAATCT